CTCCCGACTAATGTAGTCGAATAATTCTGCACGTAGCAGCGCGCCCGGGCGTCCGAAACACGTCAAATAATGGCGAATTGTGCCAAATCCCTCCGAATCGTCAGAATAAAGCAAGATTCTATTAACCAGCACCACACGCCGGTACATAGCAAACTAGAATAATCGTGAAGGTGCACGAAGGCACGTAAATGAGTGTCCGTCTCCGCGTACTAGCTACGCCGCATCCGCATCCACATCTGCATCACCGCCCACTCCCTCGCTGGTCTCTACCAGCTTTGCCTGAATCACAGCTTTCTCCAAGTCCAGGTATTTCTGAAGAAAAATGTCAAGATTTGCACTTATCGCGAACATAAAACGTATTCACCTGTTTGACGTCTTTGGGCACATTGTTCCTCCAATGAGCTTGCCGGGATTTCTTGTTACCTGTCCACGAAGTGGCGTCGCACCATGGCAGATCACTGTCAAGAGTCAGAACAGGGTCTGAAGGGATGCGATGACAGCACATACTATGCGGTCTTCACACCAACGGACTTCGCCGTCACCCGAGACGCGCGAGATTTCCCGCCCGAGCCGGCTTTCGGCGCCGATGTCGACTTCGCGGTGCTTGCAGCCTGGGCAGCTTCTACCGCATTGTCGCGCAATATGGTCGTCGTAGTTGGGGGTGCGGGCCCAGCTGTCTGTGCACTGTAATGATATGTTCAGAGGCATCGGTGACCAGGGTGGCGGGGCGAAAACACGTACATGACATCTTCTGCATTAAAGACACTTTCCAGGGCGCGACGGCGGGTCGAATGCACCCGGTAGGGGCATCACGACATCCAACCGCGACGATGGCGAAGACTCTGAGTTGTTAATGTTGGGCATGGCCGAGATCTGTAAAGCTACGAGTTAAACTGGACATCTACGTCACGAGTGACAAGAAGCACGTACGTGTACAGCGGGTGGAGCGATGGATGAAACTGCCGGTGGCGATGTCCAACTTGCGCGATAGCTGGCGGGACCGCAGCAGCGTTGGTGGGCACAGTCACGTCGTCAACAGGGTGGCCAGTACGCGTAACAGAAGTTTGCTCGCCAGCACCTGCCGGCCGAATTACGGCTGGCTGAGTCGAGAGCTGGACATCGGCACCTTTGGAGGGTGGCGCCGTCACGATACCGTTCGAGACAGGCGCAAATGGACCGGCTGTGCTGTCTGATACCCGCACTTCGGGCGA